ATTCTAATTATTATGTATATTATCATTATTAAAACAGTATTTTTACTGTCTCTTATACACATCTAGATGTGTATAAGAGACAGGAATAATGAAAGAAAGTTTATGCAGCATCAGTGTTTTATAAAATGTTATAAAGCTATACGCGCGCACGCTGTTTGGTGACAACATGGCGCCCATGCGCCAAGTTGGCCAAACTCTCTCTATCTACGGCTCGCTGGCTCAGCTCGCTCGGCCTTTACCGCCATCATTTATCGGTAGCAGAGACAACGTGTGCGTATCGTAGGTGCGCGCCAAAAATGCATATACATTACTCTAAGTATTATAAACAATGGAAAAATATTGGCATAAATTTTAGTTTTACGCAAAAGAATAAAAAAAAAAATGAGAAATACAGACTATTTCTCATAGGAGATTACCCTTTTTTCGACGAATTCTTCGTTACTAGGCAAATTCAGAGGTTGTAATCGCATCCGCTGGAATGCTCTGGCATAATACTTTTTAAAGTAAATTGCGCCATCTCTAATAAAATAAGTTTTTGTACTTTGCATCTCGCACACTGCGGTCGATCGAGTAGGCCTCAGATTGGATTGGATTTATTGGGTGTAAACACCAAGGATAGCCCACGTAAGTCTAGAAGAAGACTTATTTCCAGTGGGGTCCTTCTGGTGGTGATTGGGCAGTACACCGGGAGACAAACCTCTACTCTTTTCCGAAGAGTGTACTGCGTTCTTTAACGTGCACATGAGCCATAAATGCACACGGGACCAACGGCTTAAACGTCTCATCCGAAAGACGGTGCGCTATTGTAACTTATATTTCAGCCCTCCAGCTGAAACACAAGGAGATGCAGCGATAGGAATTGAACCACTAGGGACCTAGATATTTTCACGGTTCATTAGCGCACACACAGTGGCTACCACCAGATTAGCCGACTGAGCTAAGCTGCTGACATGTTTGTTTAATTGTCAAAATCTCGGTCAGAATCATTTTTTTAACAGATTTGTTATAATTCCTATGAAATATTATATTTCACAAGTGTCAATACTAGCAACGGAAAATATCATTTCGGCCGTTTTTATGTGTGATAACAGAACCTAAATCGAGGTAAGGCTAAGCCAGCCTAGCAGTGTTGGATAGGGTAGTGTTTCCGGCGCCTACTATATATTTCTTCGTAGACCTATCGCAAAATCAAACATAAAAAAATCATCCACATTTATTTTTGTGTGGAACACAAAAAAATCAAATTTCAGTCATATTTTACATGTCTATTTATGTTTATTTAATGTCTAAATTCAGTTAAACTAGCAATTTCGTATTATAGGCCTATTTAATAAATCTTAACAAATTTAAAAATCAGATTTTTCTTAACAAGTGAAATTTTGCCGGGAATCGGGCTTTTAAGTACCGTATACTAATGTGTCTAACGTCCATTAATAAATATAGTGTCGTCACAAGTATATTTTCTGTAAATATTCATAACAGACATCAACTCTCGTACAGTATTGATAACTGTCCCTATTTCTTTAAGATGATAGTCGGAGATGAAGTTCTTTTATGTAATATAATAGACTGATTTAAGCATAGGCCTATATTTTTTTCTTTCTTTTATATTTATATGAATTACTTTTACAACTAGAAGTATTTTAAAATAATATATAAAAAATACTATTAATTTTGTTATAATATCATCATTGTTACTAATTTTGCTTTATTATGTGAATGTACATGACTTAGTGTCATCATGTTCGCGTCTACTATGCACTTGTTATTCGTGTTATTTTTTGTCGCAAATCGTGGAAGTAAATCCTACCAATCAGAATGTAAAAAGGCCAGGGTTTAAGTTAGATTATACCTGTATACAGATTGTAAGTTTTTTTTTTTCAGACTTACATAGCTGTAATCTCAGTTATCACTGCACCAGAATAATAATCTATTACTTACGCGTTCTTTTATAAAAGGTTCTTAAATGATACAATATCTAAAAGATGCGACCATTGAAATTTATAAAGTAAATCCCAAAGCATTATATAGGTATATATTAAGCAATTGGTCAAGGCGTCTGCATAGACAGCAAAAGGTCCCGGATTCAAATTTCAGTTGAGCTAACTTTTTTTCGCACTCGCAGAATCCCCTCTTCTTTAAAGCTCAAAATGTATATTTAATTACAGCATTAATGATCGAAGACAGTGCCCAGAACCTTACTGCTGTTCTTGGTCTTGTGCTTGTTCTTGTTACCAAAAATTAAAAAGCGTCCAGCGTCGCCAGTTTTGACGTACAGGAAATTTTGTACTCATTAATTAGAGGTGATTCCCAACAAACGTTCATCGCCCTTTTTTAAGTTAGACCCCAGGGTTCCCCTACACCTACAAAACAGGGGTTTCAGCAAGAACTGTACATTACTGTCATTACCGCTAGTAGTAGGGCACGTCGCATGGATGGCGCGGTCGGTTCTGTATTCTAAACAACCAAAAGTCGTGATTTCAAATCCAGTCTTGTATTCATTCTTTTTTTAAATTTTAAAACAATTTTTTTAAACATTTCTATCTTATTAGCTCTTCCAAAAAACCCAATATAATAACTTGCGCCTGTAACCGTATTTATTAAGCGTGGAAACGGACCAGTGAGCGGTCGCCCTTGTTTAACTCACAAAATAACTCCCAATGAATTTACCAACATATAAACCTGTTAGAAAAAGTGTTATCGCCTGCAATTCGGTTATCACGGATTATGGGACAATATTATAGGGCCAATTAACTTAGCCAATTAGCCTATGTCGTCCCTGAGATCCTGGTGTACTGCTAAAAATGTTTTCATGTATCACAACCAAACTTAGGCCTACGTCTAAACAGATGGAGAAAGATTGTAAAGGTGAAATATCACGAGATAAAAGAGCAAAACATGCATAAAAAGACGGAATGAAAAAATTAACCTTAGCATATATCCTGTATTCGACTTGAACAAACTCCAACGGCAAGACATGATACGCGAGTACACGAAGAGTCATGAAGCACAGAGAGCAGTAATTACCAAGAAACAAACGCTACTTAAGGTGATGTCTGTTTTACACGCTTCCTATACAAATCATGTCCTTACACAAAATTCTTTGCAGCAACACTGATTGCAGGATTTCTATGACGACGGTATCTCTAGTGTACCGTATCCAATTATTATTACTGACATGCGTATATATATAGCCAAGTGTCATTATACAAAATATATAATGTATGAGATTGGGTTTCTAGATGACTACTAAAACAGTAAAAAAATAATATAATTACTACAGTACTATTCAAAACAATAAAAATGGCATATTTTAACTATATATTATAAAAATATAGCATAGACTTACATTGCATTTGATAGGTACGTAGATTTATTATATATTATGCACTATATATATACTGTCTCTTATACACATCTAGATGTGTATAAGAGACAGGTTCTTAAATGATACAATATCTAAAAGATGCGACCATTGAAATTTATAAAGTAAATCCCAAAGCATTATATAGGTATATATTAAGCAATTGGTCAAGGCGTCTGCATAGACAGCAAAAGGTCCCGGATTCAAATTTCAGTTGAGCTAAC